GCAGATTCAGACGCGGAAATCATACTGTGAAGTTGGATTTCTGCTCCTGGACGTTTAATCGCACTTCTCCAAGCTCAAACCGGGCTCCAATGGTGTTGAAGATCGATCTATGGCGCTTGGGAACTCTGGTTCGTCGCTTTCTCTCTCTAGGAATCGATTTCTCTCTCAAAAACTCGGAACTCATTGAAAATTGGCCTTCTTCCTCTTTTATCAGCTGCCCTCGCGATACCCGGTCAAAATACCCGGTCGGGTATTTTTGGGTTCGACCGGGTATTCCTGAAACGCGCCGTTCCACTTTGGGGAAAATCCCCGGTCCAACATCAAAATCCCCGACCGGGGATTTAAGGCCATCGCCCGGGCCCCCTTCTGTTTCTCACGGGTGCCCGAAGGGAAAAATACCCGGTCGAGGCCAGAATATACCCGGTCGGGTATTTCTTCCTTTGACCGGGTATTTTGGTCCAGCAGCATCCGTTATCCCATCTTCGCTCCTTTCGACCCGGAACTCGTTCCTTCGCCTCGATTACAACGCCAGGACCTGAACTATGACATAAACACACAACCTAGCGTGAAATCGGCTTAAAACACGAGATTCCTAATCACAAACAGCTTCAAAATAGGGGTGAAAACATGTATAATTATTGATCTATCACAATCTCCTACTATCGAATGAAGAGGCTCTAACAACCTAATCAGATTCTATCTATCTCAGGTTGCATCAGAAATTGAGAAAAGCTTATCAGACTCCAATCAATTCAATAAACATGCATCATTCGATTAAAATCAAACATTAATATCATCCCAAGTCATTACAATCAAATCCCTAACACAAGGAACTAGGGTTCTTCATACCCAAGTGAGAGAAGGGTTCTACTCCATAGAGAGAGAAGAGAAAACAGTAATCGGATTAGTCATACTCATAATGATGAGGAAAATCTGCTCCGGGATGATGATTTCCACTCCTATGACGATCTCCAAGCTCGATTCGACGAAACCCAGCTCCAAGATAGCTCTAGGATGTGTTCTTCGTACTTTCTCTCTCTAGGGCTCTGTTTTTGCTCTGAAAACTCGACCCCCCACTTTTTGCTCGGAATTGGCTCTAAAACCAGACTTTCCCGACTCGCACGGGCAGGCCACACGGCCGTGTAGCTCACCACTTTGGCCGTGCGGCTCAAAACGCAGCGTATGGTTTAGTTCGATCTTCAGGCTTCTCACACGGCCAGGGTGCACGGCCGTGTGGATTTCATGAGCTGCCCGTGCTTGGCCTCGGCAAAAATCACACGGCCAATGTGCTCATTGGCACGGCCGTGTGAAAACCACTTGTGCCCGTGTTTGCTCTCGCACAATTCCACACGGCCTGGCTTGTCCTTCGCACGGCCGTGTGATGCCATGGTCTGCCCGTGCAGCTTCCTTGAAACCTCGCCATTCGTCCGATCTTCGTCCAATCGACCCTAGACTCGCTCCCAAGCCTCCATTCACGTACTAGGACCTGAAATATCACAAACAAGCACAACCTAGCGTGAAATCGGCCTAAAACACGAGAATCAATACCTCAAACGGTGTAAGAACGGGGGTAAAAACATGTGTAAATAACGGTCTATCAGATACATATATATTATTTATTTCTTATTTGAGGCTTTTTCAAAATATTATTCATATTTCTTTAAATTTGTTTCCCTGGATTAAAGGGTAATGCGTCACTGACAGGAAAATTATGCATGGGAACCACGTATGGAGGTTTATTGAGCTCAAGATAGGATGCATAACTATGAGTAATCAAATCTGAATCTTTCTTTTAAGTGGCGGTAGATCTAAGGGTGAAGAATTTAAAAAATTTATTTTTCATAGTTTTCTTGATGTGATCATATCTTCTTCATTCTAGTTCGGATTTCAAATTTTTTTTGCACAGATGGAACGAGTTTGTTGTTCTCTACAAAATGATATCCATTTTCAATATTTTTAGAGAAAAAATTTCATACCTCTCGTTACCAACTCCATACATATGGTATCTCCTTCATTTGTAGTCGTTTTCGAAAAATTTTGCACAGAAGGAACGATTTAATCATGATCTACTGGATTTCAAATTTTTTTGGGTGAAAAAATTTCATACCACTCGTTACCAACTCCATACCATACTATACCACCCTGGTATGAGGTGGTATTTTTCATACCATATGGTATGCTGTTATTTAATACTAGTCAATACCATATGGTATAGACTCGTAATAACTAACAAATTTTTTTTATCCAAAAAATATCAAAGTGGATATCATTTTGAAGAGCACAAGTAATATGATCTAACTGTGCAAAAAAAATTAATTTCTAAGTTAAAACAAGTGAGAAATGGTCCGTTAAAGATTAAGAGAAAGAAAATTAAAGATTTTTTGAGGAGAGAAGGAGGTGCTGATGTGGTGGATTCTTATTGAGTTATGCATGAGGTTATATCACCGGATCTACTCTCGGTTTCTTGGTCCTTTTTACTACATGTGTACCTCAAATCCTTATGTTCTAAGACTTCGTGTATGAACACAACTATTATTATTAGAGGCTTGCTATTTGCCGCCAACAAAAAAAAAGTATATATGTACATCTTTGGTTAAGGATTTTCACAATCTACAACATATCCAACTTTCAGAAAACGTATTGAATCAGAAAAAATCGACGCTCGCCGGAAAATCATCGGGAAAGTCGAACGTAAACTGCGAACACGTATCCATGAATCATCACTAAGCAAGTGCGTCGATTTTTTGTAGTTTCGAACAATTTTCCCGACGATTTCCAACGAACAGACGGCGGGTCGAAATTTTCCGGCGATCGAAACTGGCCGGGCCGAAAATTTCCGGTGCCAGAACCAGGCCGAGCCGATGGAAATCGGTTTATGTTTTTAAATTTTCCAGAGTAGTAATTGGTTTATGTTTGTAAATTTTGTCTAAGTAATTTTTACCGTTTGGTATATTTTCGTAGATTACTCATCCCAGAGCCCACCAGGGCAATATTCTTACCCTTACATCGATGAGCTTTTTCCAGAGTTTGTTCGACCTTTGCTGGTATGCGATTTCAACCCTAGTCCAGACGACCATTGTGGTTTTTGGACACTTTCTCATTGTATTTATGGGGATGATAGTCACTATCTGCTCATGAGATCGGCGATTGCCCAAGAAATCCAACAACATTTCTGGAAGTACAAGAACTTGTTCGAGGACTTGTTCGTGTTTGCCACCATCTACAACATCACAGTCATGGTATTCTCATACCAGTTGTATGATGTCAATAATGCAAACCGTCCACTACCCAACCGCAACGATGATGCCTATACTGTATTGCCTATTGATGCGGACCCAGGTACTTTGCCACTAACCATGTTCTTATCACTGCACTATGTGAACAACCACTACATTCGATTGTACTTCAACCAGGATCAGTTTCCCATACCCCTCTGCATCCACTTTCGCATGGGCTAGCACATCCTAATGTGGCGGAGTGAGGAGCTATTCTTGAGGTTGGACAAAATTTGTTTGCGAGTCTTGGTGGTTGGCAGCAAGCCAGACAGAGAGACCCCCTAAGAGCTAGGGGAAGGGTGGGGTAGGAGCAATGCATAATGTTGCAATGTTTTATTTATATGTTGTTTTTCTAGTTGTATTTTTTAAATTGCTCTAAATTAGTTCATATTGACCATGGAATGACCTTAGTGCCATTATCAATTTAGGGGTCGTTTGCTTCATGGATTTAAAAATGAGGGTTTTGTAATTTAAAAACCCAAGGATTTATCAAGGATTTGAGGCATCATGGATTTGTAACAATCCTTTGTTTGTTGGGATGTTTTTATCATGGATTTAAAAGTGTGGGATTTACTACTTAAAGTCAAAAATTACATTACTGCCCTTTTCTATATGTTTGACATGTTTATGATATGTACACAAAACAAGGACAAAACTTCAAAATTACCTTACTATCATTTTCTATATGTTTGACATGTTTATGATATGTACACAAAACAAGAACAATACATACTAATAAGCATAATGTTGCCACGTGGACAATAATAATAAACGAGAAAAATTCCGTTTTAACTTTTAACGTAACATAATCAATTACCAATTCTTTGTCCTCCTTTTCAAAAGTGACATATAACAGCATATATTAGAATCGGGAGAACAAAGAATTACACGTTGCATGAAAAGGTCAAAGAAAACTAGAACACAAGAAATGATATAAAAAATCTAACTCATGTTTGCACATTAATTGAATGTTTATATTATTCATTTATTGTTAATTATAATGTATAATAGTTAAATTTGAGGGCAACCTTGGAATATTAAAAGTGCATGAGGGTATATGGGTAAAATTTCATCAAGGATTTATGCCATATTTCAAATCCCACATCAACATGTGGAATTTATAAGTCCGTGGGGTCCACGGATTTGGACCCTTAAAATCCGTGGGCCCCACGGATTTGGTCTCCAAAAAAGGTGCAAGCAAACAACGGATTGTACCTAAATCCTTGATAGTTGGTTTTTTTGTACCAAATCCATGTCCCAAATCCTTGAAGCAAACGACCCCTTAGTGGTATCATGACTGTAGAAATATGCAAACATCTGATCCAAACATAAGTAGTCAAACATAATTTAGTGGTATCATAGAGTAATGATCCAGGGGTCAAATCTTACCGATGCGGAGTCAACTAGTCGATATGCATCTCCATCATCCTATAGGACTCTACAATGAGAATGCGCCACGAACCAGTCAAGATAGTCGATCGTAGTTTCATACGGATATGTCGTCCAGGGCTGATAGTACATGTCTATATGAGCCATGTGGGATAGCAGAGAATCCCATGCAACATCAAAACTCTCAGGAATCCGAATAACATATCCACCAGGTGCCACTGGTCGGTTTGCTCGCTGAGGCCGCGAAGGGGCAGGTGGTACCATCTGTCGGTATCCAAACTGTCGGAGGCAACGGGCTGGATCATAGAACTCGCCTATATCAGCGAACCGGATCACTCAAGTGTACAAAGAGTGACGCACTGCCTGATGAGGCCTCTGATGGAAAGGTGTCCAAAACACACCAGAAGGGGTCAAGCTGTCAAGAACTCGATGGTAGAACGCCAACCTCACACTGAGATCAGCTACAGAACCAGGTGTCGGCTGCCCAATCCATCGTGAAGCCCAAGCCTTCTCAGGTCCAACGACAGGTGGCTCGAAGTGAGATGGCCGGAAACTCGGAAAGTACTCGTAGATCCAACACCGCAGAATTGTGAGACAACCAACCACCCCAACTTGAGACGCCTGGCCAAGGTATCTGACTATCTGTACAACCAAGTAAGTGTAGCTGACGCCCAACTGTACTGATCTACCTCCTCCAACTCGTCAAAAAATAGGTTCACCACCAACCGAACCCTGTCTCTGCTCTTGTCCACAAACAAAGTGGACCCCAACAGCAACAACAAGTACGACTGCGCCTCTGTCACATGTGTCTCGTACACCTGCAAGTATCTGGACGCCATCTCCACAAGAAAACCACCCTTGTTGTACCACTTACCCTTACTAACATATCTAGGGGCCTCCGACCGACCACTCAGCTGATCCGAGTTCATCCCAAGAAGCGCACACAAACCCACCTCCAGATGGTCACACTGCGCAGAAGTCCTACTCATCAGTCGTCCCTCAACAGGAATCTGCAGTAAGTATTGAACATCGTGGAGGAGGATCGTCATCTCTCCAAAAGGCAAGTGGAAGGTGTTCGTGTCTGGCTGCCACCTCTCCACAAAAGCTTAGATCAAAGCCTCGTCAATCGCTATCTTGCGGAACATAGAGTAGATCAGGTGCTGGAGACCTGACTGCTAAACTAGATCCTCCGCAAGAACATGCCTAAACACGTAGCCACCCAGATATTCAACCTTCGATGTACGACTGTAGCAACTGATTACCCCTCGATATGCAATCCCCGTCCAAAGCGCATAGACAGCGTGGCCACGGAAGCTCCTAATGAGGCTAGGATCCGTAGGTCCACCAGGACCCTCACCAACAAGCTACCACGGTGGAGGACCACTCGAATGTCCTCCCCTACTCCGTCCAGTCCCGGAGCTCTCTGGCTCTTCACGAGCAGGTGGTACGAACCGCCCAGCTCAGTCCCTATACATAGCAGGACGTGAGGTTGTCGTACAAGACGACACTCGTCCATGTCCACGCCTGGGTGGAGAGACCTGGATATCCTCATCAGTATCATCCTGATCAAACTCAGCCGAGACCACCCTCGATGCAGCACCCTGGTTCCTCACATGGGAACCATATGTCCGTGATGCCGAACGAGCAACTACAGTAGGAGCCTCTAACTCATCCTCCCCTAAATGTGCCTCTGACTGATGTCCAATCTGTCGAGAGCGCTTCTTCTCCTTATTCTTCTTAGGCACCTTCCTTCGTGTTGATGCATCAACATTCCTACCATCGAATCTAGGCAACTCACTTCTACCAGCATCATCCATATCTAATTATCTACAAATTTACATAATATCATACTTAGATGCGCAGTAATTAATTAATTTTTTATTAACTAATATACTGAATATTAACATTAATTGTTAATTAATCACTAATTAATTAATTAATTTTATATTAACTAATCTAAGTAATTAAAAATTCATACACCAATTTAAATAAATATTAACACTAATTGTTAATTTCTATTAACTAATATACTGAATATTAACATTAATTGTTAAATCAATCACCTAATAAATAAATTATTCCCGCTCTCTCCCTTAAGAACGTAAAGCTTTTCCACAAAAAAAAAAGAACGTAAAGCTTTATCAAAAGGATAATTTTATGAAAAATATTATAATATAGTTATTAGAATGTTCTTTTAATGAATGAATATTGTTATTATAATTATTAGTTATTTCGTAATTATAGACATTTTATTAAATATTTTGGATAATTTACCAACTTTACTAATATACATATCTATTTTGGATGATTCTCAACTTTACTTACTATCAACATTTTTTATTTCTGACAAATTGGTCTAAGCAATATACATACCTATTCTTATTTTATCAGATGCCTCTGAAGGGACGTTCATATAGTATATGATGATACTTTCTACTAGCAACTACATCATCTACCAATAACTTACAGGTATGCCTATCTCGCACAAACATCCAGGATGGTATGAAGCTGATCATCAGCAATCCTCCGAGCAATAGGAAGCCGAAACCGATTGCTTGGAGATGCTCATGTAGTAGCGGGAGGTGATAAGCAAGCACGAGCCTCATTGTTAGCTTTGTCCCAACACAGACACCCAGAAAAGGTGATCGAAGGAGAAGTGGGATAGCCTCGGTGCCGTAAACCCAGGGAATGACTCCAAGCCCGATCACATCAGACACCTCCGCACATATAATATTGATGATGCAGAACGGGAGAGCGACGGCCTTGCTGAGATGACCAAGTGTGTGGGTTAGGAACGTGGCACCAAAAGCCGCCAAGAAGAAACTCGTGCATCCGATGCTCACAAGCAGCAGACGTCTGCGTCCTAATTTATCTGCTTTGACCACTGGAAAGAGTGAGGCAAGCAGCTTGATGAACGCCAGAATCAGGAATGCAACCTGAGAGCCCCGTTGCATGTGACGATTCATCGCCAGGATGGTCGGGATGTATTTTAAGATTACCTCCTGGTATGCCATCTCCCTGGCGATGAATAGCCCGACGATTAGGAACAACACGGGGAAGGCACGTTCGACCGTCTCCTTGTCGATCTCGAGGTACCAGTTGATGGCTCTTCTCCTGCCCGGGGTGTTGGTTCCCTCGTCATTTGTTACCATATGGATAGGGATCTTGGCCAGTTCTTTCAACTCGGCCATCTTCGCCACCAACACATCGTACGTAGCGTCGGACTTGATCACCAGTGATTCGGACGCATCCTCGAGCCTTCCGGTTCTTATCACCGTCCAACGTGGACTATCCAGTAACCATGCCATTGCAATTGTGTAGACGATGGAGGGAATCACCGTGATAAGCGACTTCACTTTCCAACCCACTGGACGATGTGAGGGTATCAAAGAAGCTACACACTCGAAGGCGAAAACGGATACCCATCCCAAAATCATAACCACCTGCATGCAAGCAATCAGAAAAACATATTAGTCACATCAATATCGTAAGATCAAAATCTCTGCTACATGATTTTAAGTTGTACCACGGTTGTTCACTCATGACTCATCTAATGCTTCTAACCATGCATGCATATAAGTCTAAGAGAAATTTTACAATGCTATATAGTATTGGTGCTATAGGTTTTTGCCTTTATGGTACAACTTAAAATTGTACATTTACGTTATGGTACAACTTCAGATTGTACCTATACTTTTTGTACAAATTCTTTTATGGTACAACTTGAACTTGTACCTTTATGTGATGGTACAACTTCAAGTTGTAAAGTTGTACCATAACATAATGGTACAAATTACTTTATGGTACAACCTAAACTTATACATTTAATGTTATGGTACAATTTTGAGTTGTACATTAAAGCACCAATGCTATATAGCATAGTAAAAGTGCTCATAAGTCTTCATAAAAACTTAAAGACAGTTTAGAACAACTCGTAGTCATTTTACTTCATTACAAATAACAAAGGACTTCAGGGGATAGTTGGCATAGTTTTGAGTCTTTTGACTTTATAGTACTGGCTAGCTAGCATGAGAGTATAATATACAGTAGTACTAAAGTTTAATAATTATGTTATTTTTCTATATGTAAAAGGCAGGTTTTTTAGTGACGAAGAAGTTGACGTGTGTCCATATTAACCCTATGCCCCTACATAATTGAGAGTATTTTCGAGTTTGTATATGGTAAAAACAAAAAGAATATCATATTCGTACATACCTGAGGGATAGAGCCTAAAGATCCACGTCGCTTCAACGACGAGATTTCAGCGATGTAAACCGGTCCGATGACGAGGCCTACACCTATGCCAGCACCCGTGAGACCGCGCCCGATCAAAGATGTGATGAAGTTGTTGGTGAAAACCTCCATGAAAACTCCTACGGTGTAAATCGCACCGCCAATGATAGATACGTATTTTCGGCCCCAGACATTTGCCATTACACCACCGATCATTGCGCCTGCTATGCCTAGTACTTTGGCTATGCAGACTGTGTAGAGATCACGTTGGTTTGGTGTAAGATCGAAATAGGTAGTAATTTCTATCTTTCGGTCAGAAATAGGTTAGCAAAACTTATATGCATGTAGATTGCAGAGTATTCTTGTTAAGACTTATTACTATCAATGAAGAAATTGTTATAAACTAATTGATATAATTATGAAACACAACAAATGACTCGGACATTTTTATTTTCTGGTAATAGCCATTTTCTAATTGCATAACCACATCCGGAAACATTTATTGCCACCAAAGAGTAGAAATAATAAGTTTGTTTAGTATTGTTGGATGGATTCTGTATGGCGATTGCTGGTTGCTCTTTACCTAGCTTGCTGGGGTCAATAGGGTAAGGGTCTTAATTTGGATAGGTATCATCATATATTTACTCGTTATATAACATATGTTTGTTATATATGGTTATATATAATTGGGTCTTGCTTCATACATGTTATCTACTTTTCATCAAATGGTTTTACTCTTTAACCAAAAACCAGCCGGGCCACTAAGCGCTGTTTGTTGCCTAGCCCATTAAGCGTTCAGGATAAGTCTCTTTATAATTCAAACTGAATGTGTATCTTTAATGTTATGGTACAAGTTTAATTTCAACTTCTATTATCTTTAAAGTGCCAATAATTTATGACAAGTTTCTTGTAGTTTTATGACAAAGGAAGGATTAGAATTGAAAATATTATAAGTTCAAGTAGTTTCGAGTGTATAAGAATTTGAAGTAGATTTTAAGGAGACTATTGAACTTATTGGATGTTGAATGAGTATTTGCTTTTAATGTATTTACCTTGTTACAATTGTAGATTGACTTTTCAATGCCATCAATATTTGGGCAGATAATAGTAAACGGCTAGGAAAACGTAGGTGGCAATATAGTCAGATTTGATAAACTCAAACGGTCAAACATAAACACTTTTTTAGTTTAAAAGTGTCAAATAGATGTACTCAGGGATCGTTTGGAGAACGAGATTTAGAACGTGGATTCATTGAATTCGTAGATTTTGTAGAAAGTTACGTTTTTTTGTTGCTTTTTGTATGTTGGATTTTAGCTTTAGAGATATGAAATCTCTAAAATCTCCGGATATCAAATCTCTCATAATCAGAGAGATTCTATATCTTGATTCGTGATATTTTTTTCTCCTACATTTTCTCTTTCTTTCTTTTATTTATTTATAATATTAAATATATTTATCAACAAAGTTTTTAATAATTCTCGAACTACTCTAATTTTTTTATTAAGGATAAACATGTTATTTAATATAAAATTTTTATTTTTATTTTCATTGAACGTTAGAAATCACAGTTACCAAACAATAAATATTTTCAAATCTATTTTCAACAATCCGCAGAGTTAGAATCTTTAGATTGTTGACAATCTATAGATTTAAACTTATATTCTCCAAACGACCCCTCAATGTATTCTGTAAAATCTAAGGTATGTATTCAACCTTACCCTTTCAATTAAGAATAGTTTGCTTTGAACATTCCAAAATCGAGTTATTATTCAACAAATTATCTATTATTCAATCCATTACTGTAACGGTAACTATTATATCTCAACGATTAACAGTTTTGTACTGCACGAAGTTAAACATGCATAATAGCAAAGGCCTTAAACATAGCCACAAGCTAATGATAATTTTTGAAAAAGCAATTTCTAGCTAGAATTTTTAGAAAAGTGCTAAAAAATAGTTGAGTATTTGAGTGAATAACTACTAAAAGTATTTTTTTGAATATAATAAGTCATATAAAATGAATAAGCATAATTTATATAATTTTTTAAGTAGTTAAAATGGATATCATTAGATTTATTTTTTATTTTATTTTAAAATGATATAAATGAACAAAAAGTATTTTTGATGAAAAAATTTAAAAATAATACTTATTATCTTGTTTTTGCACAACCTCGTAGAAACTTCAATTCATGTTATGAAAAACACTTTTCATTTTTTTTTAAAAGTCAAATTTTAGACTTATTTGATGTGATTTCAACTTCTAAAACAATGAAATACTTCTAAACTTTGAACCAAACATTGACAATATCATCCACTGACACATCTTTTGAATATAACCCTTCAACTATAGTGTTTATGCTTTTAATTTTTAAATAGCAGAATATTAATTATAATGGTACGAAATAAACGTTTACTCCAGTGTGATCTTCCATGGAATATAGCTTTTCAACAATGTTGTGCGCTATCCTTTAATTTTTTCATCCATTTGCAAGTTCCTTACAAGACTTGCCAAACTAATTAAAGCAATGGAGACAAGAAAATCTAATCTCCCGTTGGACTTTTTGCTCAGTGCTGGTACCTTTCATTCATTCCCATGGGCCTCCATCTCCAGTCAAGCATATGAGTAGTACTGAGGACTTGGGTTAATTCGTCTACGTGGTTACTAAATTAATTTTTTTTTTACAGAAACCTATAATGTGCTCTCTGAGTTTCGAATATGGGGCTCTCTGGACTGAAAAACCGACGACACCACCACTCGATCACGACATTATTTGTCATGTTTATTAAACTTTAATCTTTGCTTGGTTAACAAATTAAAAATTATAAAAAAAAAAGAATCCAATCCAATGACAAAAATATATCACTAATAAGTTAACTCACGGTTCTGGTATCTTTCATTAAACACTCCACACATTTATTGAAACAACCATTTTTTTTACTCGATCATACCTATGAATTCGACTTGCAACGAGCGAGAACCTTAGTTCCACGAATCGGATGAATTGGGTGTTGCTCAAGCATTTTTTGTTACTTTACCGACAACAAATTTGCCGAAATGAGAAGTGAGATTGTAATTAAATATGCAGATTGTACGTTTCTTCTTTGGTTAACATATCACTTCATTTCATTAGCATTTCCTTTGGTTTACATAATTACTTTGTTTTGTGGCAATTTTTTTCATAATTCCGATAATTCGGTGACCATCTAGAAATTCAACCCTACAATACGTGTCCCCTGCAACTTTACATCCATACAATGCCGTAAATCACCGTTAGTCTTACAAGGGAAAAACAACTTTGATTACGTACGATGTATTGATGTGGAGACTACAGAGCTCTTCATATCTCTGGCTTCCCCAAATTTCCGCATACATGACCGAAAAATTCCACATTTCTCATCACTCCAAACTCCTATATAAACCTCCACGCACAAATCAACCAACAATTCATTCACTCACCAATCCCCATCAATGGCTACCTTCCTAACAATGTCCCTCAAACCCATCGCCCTCCTACTCGTGACCTTCACGATCATTTTCAATGTCGAAGCAGCTCGCTTCGACATAACGAACAAGTGTCCGTACACTGTCTGGGCAGCCTCCGTCCCCGTGGGAGGAGGCCGCCAACTCAACTCGGGCCAGACATGGACCATCGACGCCCCACCTGGCACCGCCGCGGCTCGAATATGGGCCCGCACCAACTGCCAGTTCGACGGTGCGGGCAGGGGCAGGTGCCAGACGGGCGACTGCGGTGGGGTCCTCAACTGTAAGGGCTACGGTGCGGCCCCCAACACGCTAGCCGAGTACGCGCTGAAACAGTTCCAGAACCTCGACTTCATCGACATCTCCACGATCGATGGGTACAACGTGCCGATGGAGTTCAGCTCGGCGTCCGGGAACTGCCGGCGCGTGATAAGGTGCGCGCCGGGGAATATATTGAGCCAGTGCCCTAACGAGCTGAAGGTGCCCGGCGGCTGCAACGGCGCGTGCCCGCAGCTGAAGAGGGAGGAGTTTTGTTGCAATAACTCGGGTGCGAATTGTAAGCCGACGCCTCTTTCGAGGTTTTTCAAGGACAGGTGTCCTGATGCTTATAGTTATCCGAAAGATGACCCGACCAGCACTTTTACTTGTCCGTCTGGGACTAATTATAAGGTCATCTTCTGTCCTTGAATTGAAATATGGAAGAATAGGAAGGACTGAAAAGGTAAAATGTCATAGTGGTACCAGGAATAATACGAGGCGCGGTAATGGTTAATTACTGTTAAGCTGGCTCTATACAATACATGTTTCCAGTAGGAAACAGAATTAGAGAACGACTATATATATATATATGTAATGCCCATAATTAAGAAATAATAACAGCCTTTATTGTTACTTGTTAGATACGTGTTGCATCATGACGATTTTTCTTTTTTACAATAGTGATATATGTTTGGTTTTTAGGTAGGTGTTATTTAATAGAATTCGAATCGGCAATTTTCAGATTCAAGATCAGTATCATTACCGTTGGACCAACCCCTTATTTGAGACACTAGAACAATTTTAAAACTTTTTTTTAGGGCGAGAATTTTTTTCAAACCTTTAATTGGAGGTACTATAAAAATAATAATTTTCAATGTTTTAAAGTATGATTGTTTAGATTTTTTATATTATAGTACAAAGTGAAATTATAATTAAAGGTATGGTAAAAATTCAGTTTGTACCTATATATTTTTATATTAATTTCTTATGACAACCAACTGAATTTGTACCTTTATATCATGTTACCAACTGAACTTGTACCATAATATAAAGGTATGAATTCTCTTATAGTGCAAATTAAATTTATACTTTGAACATTAAATTTTTATTTTAAAACAATGACATTTTTTTTAACGAAAAAAACACCGATAACTTAAAACATAGGCATAGACAAACAACATATCACATAATCACATCTATAAAATATCTCGATTTTTTTACTCCATATAGACTGCTTTGTTTATGTGAAGTGAACAGTGAAGAATATATTACTTCTCAGGGTACACCAAATTTGTAAGAAGCGAAGAGATAGAGGGCAAGAAAGGGTTAAAAGTTAAAACTCATAGTATCCAAATCTATGAATTCAATACAATCAATTTACTAAAATATTTAATTAATTTAATTCACTTTAGTTCATTCTATTTGATACAAATCAGATTGGATTAGTGGATTCATGGATTGTTAATAATTATGATTTAGTACCTATACATTTTATATTTTTGTACCTAAAATTTTTTATTTAAACAAAAATATCATTTGAAAATTAAATTTTGCTATCTCAAAATTTTCTTTGTGACATCTTAGTATCTATGCTTCTCAAAATTTACGTAATAGTAAAAAACTTTGATGTCATTTGAATTTATGGATCCCAATCTACCAATTCATTAAATCTATTCTATCAATCCACTAATCTAATCAATCAATTTATGAATCCAATCTATTTACTACTATAAATAACCCAATTTCCACATGATGACAAAGACAACTTTACCGTCTTTGCAACATTCCGATACTTTCAGAAAGTTCGTCCCTTCAATAATTATGACTATAACTACCAACATGAACAACTCTACTCCCACTCCGTTTGACAAATACTTTCAGAAACATCGGCCTCCTGATGTTGGCGTTTTCCAGTGGAAAACTCATCTTGATTAAATGTATCTTGAATTTTTAAGCAACGTTTACTAAGTTGATTGATGGTTGACAAAAAAAAAAAAAAAAAATTGGCACGAGTATCTAAATTTTTTATGTCTTGCATTTTGATATTTAAACTTTCTAAAATATACAAATAGGTTGATCACAACTATTGCGTTCTTTCTATGCAAAATTTTTAAATTCCGTGTTAAAAAATGAATGCTATAGCATTCAATTAAGAAAAATAGGTGATTGAAAAAAGTACATTCTCTCTTTTCTACATCCGTATCATAGTGTCAAGCCAAAGAAGGTAGGGGCGAAAATTACCAAATCATCCCTTTTTTTGTTGAGAATTATTCCGAGCCATTAGACGATATCATGATGGTGAGATGGATGATGGTTTATTGTAGGATATGATTTTATACCTATCCCATTCTTTTTTAATAACATAATTTTGGATAATCAATTCTCCAGCCATATATATTGATTACAAATTAGGAAAATATATATATGATAAATGCTTAAAGGATTGCCTCCTATCGTTTTTGAAACTTGCCTAACACCATGCGCAAAGAAGTGTGCTCCTCACAAGGTCACCGGTCGGAGTCCAAAAATCGAAGGAGAAATACATAAGAAGAACAAATAATGTGAGGAAACCTCATGAGTAGAGGACCCATTAGTTATTATATGCATTATACATGTTTCTTCTCTTGATTTTGAGTTGCCTCGACATAAAATAAAATGGACGCTCATATATACCGTTTATTATATTTGTTCTGCTTTTTTTATACAACCCTTAATTGAAACAACATGTCAAGGGTATGACATTTCATTGTTTAATTTTGGGGAATATGATAAAAATCAAAATGTAGAAGCTACACCAAATTTTTTGCCAAAACAGAACAAAGAAAGAAAACAAAATTGCAAACCCCATAATTGGGGATATCCAGCTTGATAGAGTTATGTTTGGGGCTAATTGAAATAGTTAATTTTTATGATAAGTATATATTAGTTGAGCTACGAATTATTTTTTCAACAGCGTGATCGGACAGTGTATATATAATTATTTCTCCGCACGACAAACTCATATATAGTATATATAATAGTATTTATCATTTGTCAATACTGATTTTGTTTCTAATCATATTCATGTATATTGTACAATACCCAAAAGAACTGATGCGGTCCAACCTTAGCCATCATTCTTGGAGCTATATGTCGGCTCGGGAATGGGTGGTTCAAATAGCTCACACTTATCTCGAAGGAAATAGAATCGCCAACTGCGGTAACGTTTATCCCTTTGAGTAATTCGAGTTGTCAAATCCCATCTGATCTGCATAAATCATGATGGAGGACCTGATTACTGTTAGTTATCCCAGATAAGACATCCTGATTCGGGCCTAACTGTACACTTTTTATCCTCGATTTTCTTAGGCGTTTGAGGCATTTGTACTCCGAGAGATTTGGATTTATGCTAGGTTTTACCTTGTTTTAGTGTGTTTCAGACTATAGCAGGTGGAACCAACTCCGGAGTCAAAAGTTGATTGAAAAGGTGCAAAATCGGGTCAAAGGATGGAGGCAGCTGAGGATCACGGCAGAAGCAGCGAGTTCACGGTCAAACGAACCGTGAACTGAAGCCATCGACCTTGAACCGCCATGCTTCCAGAGTAGTTTTCGGTCTCACTGGAGTCAAGCCAGTTCACGGTCTTACGACCATGAAACCAAGCCAGAGACCGTGAAGAGACCTAATGAAGCAGTCTGTTTTTGTTCGAGATCACGGTCCTCGCCATATGTTTACGACCGTGAACTGGGACTGTGAATCGAGCTCGACCTGGGTATAAAAGGAGGGTTGAGTTGAAGGAGAAAAGGGGGGAGACCTTGAGTGAGAAAATCTTCTTCTTCTTCAACATTCTAGAGAGAGAAAGTGATGAGCAAGAAGGGAAAAGAGGCTAGGGTTTCACTCCAAGACAAGGATTTGGGGAATTCTTCCCCAAAGGAAGATCTCTACTACACAAGGAAGGATTCAAGCATCTCCATGATGGTTTTTCTTCTTTCTCCTTGTGCTTTTCCCTCTCCTGGCATGGAGTAGTGTCCCTTTTCACTTGGGTATTTGTGAACCCTAACTTCTACCATGTGATTGATTTTATGGAATAATTGTTTATGTGTGGTGTGTTTTTAATATGAGTTTGGAAGTATTTTCATGGAAGATTGTGTTGTGTGTTTGCCTATCAATCTATTTTGCCATTCTAACCTAGGTAGAGAAGAACCCCCTTTTGTGAAAGAGGCTTGTAAAGCTGGGTTTTCTTAGACAAATCATGTCTCCTATCTAGGTTAAAGTAGGGCAACCCTTCTTATTCATGTTAGCACCTAGGTTGGTTGTGTTTTGGCCGTCCAAACTCCGATTCGAGGGAGAAGGTTATACAGTCCTTAGTCGATTAGGCCAAGAGAGCTACCTTGGTAGCTTAATCCGAATTCATTGGCACAGAGACAGAGAGAGTGATGTGCCATCACTAGCTGCACTTCCCAACGGTTCACAACCACCTCCACCACATGTTTTCATTCATTCCGACAAGTCATGGTAGCTAGTTAGGGGGAGCTACATCCGGGTGAATCCTTCTCATTTAGAGTCAAACCAATTACTTTTACAATCGTTTTAATTGTAGATCGTAGTATTCAACCAAAAACCAAGCGCTAGATAATGTTGCAAACAATCGAAGTAGGGGTACATGGACCGACCCATGTTAATATTTAAACATACTTGCCCTATATTGCACCCAATTAAGGTTTATACTTGGGCCCTAATTGGGAGTTTCATTGTGATATTCGGGACGAGTCGCATCCAACGAAGTAACTGTGGAGTTTCTGATGCCAAATAATCTAATGCAATGAAAGGAAGAAAGAACACACAAGCTTTTTTAACGTGATATGGTCAATATGACACTAGTCCATGGATAGGATCTCCCTCTCAAGTTTTATCTTTTCTTATTTCCTTGACCTTCAATGTATGCAGTATGTTCCTTATATTGAATCAAATGAGCACTCATTTATACCGTTTGTTATATTTGTTTTGCATTTTTATACAACTCCTAATTGAGATTGCATGTCAACCGTATGAAAATTCCATTATTCAATTTTGGGAAAATGGTGAAAATCAAAATGTAGAAGCTACACAAATTTTTTTGCCAAAATAGAATTAAGAAAGAAAACAAAATTGCAATCCCCGTAATTGACGAGGGCAGAAAGAGGGAGGCTGGCGACAACGGCGGGAAAATGAAAGGGAACCCAACGGCTAAAGGGGTTTTTTCTTCTTCTTTTGCTTAGATTCGTTCTCCGTCGTTTTCTGGTCGATCCTAATTCCTAATCCTATCTTCTATGATTTTGCAGGTTTTGAGAGGCCGAATCTAGGTGGTACTCTGCATAACTCTATATTTTTCGTTTGTTTATCTTAATTTCTAGCCGATTGTGTTATAAATGTATAGGGCCAGATTTGGGTTCGAAATTCTTGTTGGGGTTGT